ACCTTCCTGGGAACACTGCCTCTGGCTTCCCAGCGACTCCTCCTCCCACTTTCTCCTGGACCCGTGATTGACAGCCACAGTGCCAGAGCCGCAGGTCCCTAGGGGAAACCTGGGTGTCCGCTACTGCACCCACTGTTGGTCGTTCCAACTCCCAGTGACTGTAAGGGGCAGGGTGGGGCTGGACCCTGGGTTTCTCAAACTCTAAATCTTCTAACTGCCGGCCTTACAGTTTGCAACTCAATCCATCACCCACAAAAGTGCCCAGGCTCCTGCTGTTCACCCAGAGGCACCTTGAATGATCCTCCAGCCTCCACCCAGGAGGCCTGGGTCAGAACCTCGGCCCCACGGCAGGGGCGTGTCCCAAGAGCACCCCACCTCTCTGCGCCAGGTTCCGCTCGCTCAGCCTGGGTTACCTGGTGCTGCTGGGGGAGAAACAGCTGCTTTCCAGAGTCTGGGGGCCCGGAGATCCGGATCCGGTTGCTAACTCTTGGGGAAGCCTTTCGCTCTGTGTCAGTGTGCGTGGGGGGTAACGTGTGCCCCCTACACGTCTTTTCTCGGGCACTTTTTCCTCTCTTCCTTCTCTCTGATTCTCGCAATCACGTTGTCTCTTAAGAGAATTAATCATCAAAGCAGATGATGCACCATCTATTACTCCTGCCTCCCTAACATGGCAAACACACCCCATCCCAAATGAGATGAGGACCCCCAGGCCTGGAGATCAGAGAGTACGACTCCTGTTTTGGGGGCGTATGATCCAGCCCGTGGTACTGCCCAAACCTGCTGTCAACATGAAATCCAAGCCCTTCAGTCAGCTGCACAAGGCCCTGTGCCACATGGCCTCTGCTAGCCTTTACGGTGTCCCATTCACCAATATTCTAACCACCCCAAACCCTGTGTCCCCCACCCGAGCAGGGCGGGGCGGGACTCAGAGGATGTACCACTGGCCGTGGGGCTGAGACAGACACACGGTGACCACACGCCACCAGCCCACCCCCACGTGCATCAAACCCAGAGGCAGACGGCTCCTTTAGGCAGACACAAGCCCACCCCCCACCCCCCAGGGCACTGAGGGATTCCTGGCAAGTCAACCTGGACCCACAGACCCAAGCCGTCCTTACAGGAGGCTGACTGCTGCACCTCCCCCCACGAGAAACTGGGCATTTCCTTTCTCTTTTTCTGTACAATTGCTGTTTCTTTAAGAGTGTTGGTGGTGGTGTACTAATTCAACTGTGAATTATGCTATGAGTACGTTACTGAGCTAATACGAGAGTTATACTTAACTGAGGCAGTAGGATAGCAACACATAGAAATGCTCCTCTGTCCTTTTTTTTTTTTAACCATTGACTGCTTTTACTTAATTTACAAAAGTCCTTTTTAAGAAAGAAGCATAGAAGAACAAAACAAATTATTCTATGACAAGGAAGTTTCAAGATTCATAAATATCTTTCATTGTACTAAGTATTTCATGGTCAGTACTTTTGAGCCCTGAATATTATTATTTTTTTTAATCATTAAAATGATTTTGAAAAGAGTTGCTCATGCAACTCTTATCACAATCCATACATACATCAATTGTATAAAGCACATTTGTATGTTTGTTACCCTCAGTATTCTCAA